CGGGGCGGGGCCCCCCCTCCCCGCCCCGCCCCGCCCCGCCCCGCCAACTTGTTGGGACGGGTTTTTTTGCCATCACTAATAATACGTTATATGACTGTGACATACTATGTTGTATTATTGTGATTTATAATGTTGTGTGTCTATGACAACAATTCATAAAATATGTGACATTTATTTTATGGTTTCATCTCTTTTTTTCTTAATGTGGCATAAGAGATGGCTTTTTCGAAAATTCTAACTTTCGTGCGAGAATTGTGACATGATTTCAAGGATGAAGGCTCCATCTAGAACATGAGAATGACAACATTGAATCGAAGTGTTATAATCTGATTCTCTCCCTCCCTCCCTCCATATAAATCATAAGTTCATTTTTACTTTATATCTTTTTTTACTCGACCATTCCCCTCATACAGTGGAACTCACATGGCCCTTACAGGTGGTGTATTGGCAACACCTGTATTGTGCTTTATTTTTTTATGTTTTTTTGAAAAGAATGAATGAAAATTCGTCGAGTGTTAATCTGTAAAAATTCTGAAAAAATTTATGTACACATAGCATAACTCATTTTTACTCTACAAATACCTTTAATATGTAGTAAAAACTATTAGAATTGGGACCAACGTTAGCTTAATTTATGAAACATTTGCCAAAAGACCCGGTAACGAAGATTCACAATATTTCACAAAATCCTTCCATTCTTGGACTCTAAAAAATTTACTTCACATCATCGTTGTTCATTTCAAAGTACATGTGAAAGAAACCTGTATTCTCTCAAAATAGAATGCCAAACCTTATGTCTTACGTGGCAATTTTTTTTTTTTTTTTTAAGGGTTTTGCCATTTGTATACGGTCACACTGGCCCTGTACGTAAAGCACGACTTTTTTTTTTTTTAACAATCTACCATTTCATTTGAATGCATTGAAAACAGAGCTTTGTTGCACAACCAGAAAGAAAATCACCAGAATTGCAACAGACCACTCACACAAGGGTGGAGCCTGCACTTTTTTTTCTTTTTAAATACATGGTGGGGCCCACATTTGTCTCAATTTTGGTGTAATTCTGGTTATTTTTTTCTGTGCAAATACTTTTTCTCTTGAAAACATTCTAATAAGCATTATCTTTAAATAAAAAAAATTAAACACATCTAGAAAGTAAGAGTGCATTTGGTTTGCTGTTTTTAATTTTGCAAAATACTGAAAATGTGTTAGATCTGTTATTTTTGAAAATACATTTTTAAAAACAAAGATAAACTTAAACATAAAACCCGAAACACACTTTTTGATGTTTTAAGTCTTTTCATAAAACATGGAAAACAATTGTTAAAATAAAAATTTAAATTGAAACTAGAAGGAGGTTTAACTTTAGAATAATTCTGCTTGAATATGGGCTTTTGTCAAGATTTAGGGAGCGACATCACTTGTATGGGTGTATTATTATTATTATTTTTTTAACTGTTCAATGAACAAATGACACGTGTCTTCCTGTTTATAATCCCGTCGTCGAGCATGTTCACGTGGATTGTTAACTTCAACCCCGCATTTGAGTTTACGCGTAAAATTTGCGATTGATTTTAACTTGGGAAGAATACATAAATCATGCATTTACTTTTAACCATTTCAAAAATACCAAAATATATTTCAAATTTCAAAAATCAGGTTTTTTTAAATTTTTAATTATGAAATAATAATTATTAAATTAATTTATTATTAATATTTAATTCTACTATAAAATAATTAACCTACCCCCACCTCCACCATCCCTACAACTCCGAGGATATT